AAAAAAAAAAAAAAAAAAAAAATTACAGAACAGGACTGGGCGCCGTGGCTCATGCCTGTAATCTCAACACTTTGGGTGGTTCAGGCAGGTGGCACAACTGAGGTTGGGAGTTTGAGACCACCCTGACCAACATGAAGAAACCCCATCTGTACTAAAAATACAAAATTTGCCAGGCATGATGTGCATACCTGTAATCTCAGCAACTCAGGAGATTGAGGCAAAAGAATCACTTGAACCCAGGAGGTGGAGGTTATGATGAGCCAAGATTACATCATTGCACTCCAGTCTGGGCAACAAGAATAAAACTCCATCTCAAAAACAAAAAAAAAATTACAGAACATGGAAGATATCTGTATCTTAAACTTTCCATAAAACTGATGTTTCTTTATATTAAATTCAGACTGTAATTTACCTTTTAGGGGGCAGTAATGGTGTGTCATTCTGGGCGCATTAGGACATCATAAAATTTTGTTCTATTGCAGTTGATGTTAATAAATCACTTGGTTGATAAGCTCTCTGACACTTTTTTTTTTTTAACTGTAGAATTAGTTATTTTCCTCTTCATCATCAAGTATCTTATGTAGCTGATGTGAAGAAACCATCACATTTAATCTGACAGTTGCCCTTTTTTCTTAGGCTTTCTTTGCATTTATCTGTTTTTGGAAAATGAAGGCTCTCATCTTTGTTTACAAATTAGAAAAACTGAGGAAAACACAGGCTCATTTAATTACTGGGTATTTGAAAAACAGTCTTTTGGGGCCAAAAACGTTGAATACTGATGAGTTTGTCAGAAATGCAGCAACTCAGACTTTATCCCAAATCTCTAAAAAAAACAAAACAAACTGCATTAAGATCTCCAGCTTATTGTACACATTAAAATTTGAGTGATACCTTCTAACTCAGCATGTCTATTCCATCTGAATTATATACACAACCATGTCTTTTCCATCTAAAAAATACACACAGTTAATACTGTCTGATGTAAATATAGCACTCAACCTTGTACATATTAATGTTTATGCCCTGAATATTATACTTTATTATCCAGAAAAATATTATATATACACTGATATTGATCTTATACCACTCTTTTTTTCTCGGATTAGATAATACATTAGAGAATATTTTTGTGTTGAAAATTATTTTATTAATTTTAGTCACTCATAAGTCAGAACCAGTTCTCTTTACTGTCTCTGTTTTCCCTTGAGTCAAATTAAAAATTTTCCTCATGACCACTTGGTAAATATATATGTTTGTGTGTGTTTTGCAGGGACCATTGACATTTATGGATGTGGCCATAGAATTCTCTCTGGAGGAGTGGCAATGCCTGGACACAGCACAGCAGAATTTATATAGGAATGTGATGTTAGAGAACTACAGAAACCTGGTCTTTCTGGGTGAGAATAACTTTGATATGCAATTCCTAGAGTCCTAGTATACCCCATAGGTTTAATTTCTTTTTTGTATCATTTATTTTTTTTTGGTGATTTATGCTTGTAGATTTCTGTTTTCAAGAAAATTGTAGAATTTTTCCTTGTAGAAAAAAATTTCTTCAAGATGTTTTATTTATTTATTTATTTATTTATTTGGGACGGAGCTTCACTCTTGTTACCCAGGCTGGAGTGCAATGGCGCGATCTCGGCTCACCGCAACCTCCGCCTCCTGGATTCAAGCAATTCTCCTGCCTCAGCCTCCCGAGTAGCTGGGACTACAGGCAGACGCCACCATGCCCAGCTAATTTTTGTATTTTAGTAGAGACGGGGTTTCACCATGTTGACCAGGATGGTCTCGATCTCTTGACCTCGTGATCCACCCGCCTCGGCCTCCCAAAGTGCTGGGATTATAGACGTGAGCCACCACGCCCAGCCTAAGATGTTTTATCTTGACCTGAACTTACCACATTTCTTGAGCTGATCTGTCTCCTTCGCTTTAGATTAGTGGTAATTTCAAAAGTTTACTGGCATAAAATATTGTTGCTCACACCTTAAAATCTAATTGCCACCACTAATTTTAATTCAATAGTACCAGGTAATAAAATTAAGAACTTACAAAATTAAAATACTTTCTACATATTTAGAAATTAGTGTTGTAAATTGGTATTTTGGGATAAATGTATTAGAATATTCTATTTCATCCTCTTTACTGTGCACATTACTGAGTTGGTAATTGGAGATTATGAGCAAGATGCATGTTACTCATTTTTAATAAAACAGGTATTGCTGTCTCTAAGCCAGACCTGATCGCCTGTCTGGAGCAAGAAAAAAAGCCCTGGAATATAAAGAGAAATGAGATGGTGGCCAAACCCCCAGGTAGGTGAGAGTGAATCAACAGGCAACCTGGATGAGAGATCCAAAGTCAAAGAGAAAGCCAGTGATTTGGGAAGCCACGTTCAAAGAAATAGTTTCTGGAAAGCCTTTTTAAAAAAATGTTTTAAATTTTACTCTCACAGAGGGGCATCTTCTGTCTTATGCTTTTAAAATTTCTAAGAATTCTACTTTCCCTTCAGTAATCTTCCTTCAAGTTTACAGTGACAGCCAAAGTACTGTCCACGTCATGTAAGAGAGTGTATAATCTGACTTTATTTTGTGTGTATGGACACACAGATATCTTCATAATTTTCTGATAGTTCATGTTAAACCATCTTTTAAGTTCTCTTTTTCCATCATCCCTGAAATGTGTGAGAGTAGTGGATTTTATTTTATTTTATTTATTTATTTTTTTTTTGAGACGGAGTTTCGCTCTTGTTACCCAGGCTGGAGTGCAATGGCGCGATCTTGGCTCACCGCAACCTCCGCCTCCTGGGTTCAGGCAATTCTCCTGCCTCAGCCTCCTCAGTAGCTGGGATTACAGGCATGCGCCACCATGCCCAGCTAATTTTTTGTATTTTTAGTAGAGACGGGGTTTCACCGTGTTGACCAGGATGGTCTCCATCTCTTGACCTCGTGATCCACCCGCCTCGGCCTCCCAAAGTGCTGGGATTACAGGCGTGAGCCACCGCGCCCGGCCAAGAGTAG